ATCTTCGAGTTGCCCGTTGCTCCCCTGGGTGGAGAGGGTGGGCCAAAATTTGAATGCGCTCGAGCACTAAAGGACTGTGCATGCAATGAGTTCGCAAAGCTGCATTGGAAAGAGTGCAAGTCATGTTCCATGAATGATCACTCTCACAATGCACTCATCGCACGAGCTCTTTTTAAACGCCGGGGGCATATCTCAGGCATCTTCGAGTTGCCCGTTGCTCCCCTTTAAAATGAAACTCGAAAGAGGCTCTCCGGTAAACCATCTGGTTTGATCAGATAAGTCAAGATAGATTCCGGTAGGCTGAGGTCTCCAAAGGACTGGCCACCGATCATCTTTGCTGCCTCCAAGTGCTTGCCTCGTGAAGGCAGGTCGGACAAGTTGCTCGCCGTAGGTACGCGTTCCACCCACGTGGCACACGGGTACTGTGCCTCTGGGAGGTAGAACGCTCGGGCCAAGGCCAGCATTGAGACTGAAGGGCTGCTAGCTTTAATCAGCGTCCAGCGAGCTGCCTCGTTGTCGACGAAGAACAAAGCTTTCCGCTGACTAAGCCGCTGGGCGTAGTGGTGGCGCACCACTACTGCAGCATAAGTTTCCACCTGGCATATTACCTGCTCGATTCCACGAGATTGCCAATGTGTCAACAGCCGCTTCGGCACAGCGTGGTGGACTGCCCTGAGATTGTTCTCAGGATCCAAGACTACGGCACCCCATAGTGCGCATCCCTTCTCGTAGGACCCGTCAGTAAGGATAACGACCGGGCGACCACCAGAGCAACACTTCCAGCGCCTAGGCAGGGCTTCTTCTAGCGCTTTCTTGGTGTAGTCCACAAGCAAAGTCAGGTCCTGGATCGAAGGGCACTCTGCTGCCGAGGCCAAGTTGGAGAAGGCCCTAGCTGCCAGCTTGAGATGTTGACCCAAGGTCGAACCATTCATGAAGTTGAGGATCCCATGGATGCTCTTGGCAGCCTGTCTGGACGACTCGGGGGCTGCAAGAACACCATCCAACATTTCCAATAGCTTTGCTGTCCGGCTCGGCTTGTTGCTGACTTTAAGGTAGCCGTCGTGGAGCTCCGAGAGGTCTATCCGAGCCCCGAGCAAGCTAAAGGATTCTTCGAAGTCCCTGCCTTTGTCATCGTCTTTGGCATAAAGCCACCCAAGCTGGTCAAGAAGAGAGCACGCTGCTTTGGAAGCCATGCCGCAGCAAGCAGCAGTCTCAAGCAACGCGTAGTCGTCATAAAACACGCCACCCACTATGGAAAGCATGTGATGCAGCAGGTGTAGCAGCGAACGACTGATGCGGTTGAACGAAAAGACCGATGCCGAACACCCAAAAGGCATGCTGGCCGTGGTGAAGAAGACTGGCTTTCCTGTCTTTGGGTCATGCACGAGTATCACTCCAAGAGGGAGCGACTTGCTGGAGATGGGCACCTGCTTGTAGGCCTTGCTGAGGTCGAGGCAGCGGCCCTTGACTTTGGGCTTGGACCCATACCCCGAGTGCACTGCACCTTGCAAAACTTCGCCATCAGACAGCACGTGCTCGAAGCTGGGCCCCGAGGCGATGATCTTGCCGATGAAGGCTGCAAGTCCTGAGACATAGTCTAGGTCGTGGAGGGAGAGAAGCTCTAGGGAGGTGTATGCTGAGTTGATCATCGACTCTTTGGCATCATCTATTACCCTGGGCTTGGGTTCTCCGGTTTTCGGGTCGGTGCCTTGAAGAATGAGGAATCTGCGCGTGACACACATGTCACAAGCACTGCACCCCGCACTGAGAGCAGCCTCCTCGAGAGACGCGAAAGGACCCTGGATGAACCCTTTGTCTCTCTCCTTAAGAGTCTCATTCCACAGGATCTCTTGATGCACAGGATCTGCTGAATGGGCCTGCCGCCCAATGAGGTCGCGGTTCCTCCAAGAAGACGCTTTGGTGAGGTGCTCGTGGGAAGTCGTAGCGAGCTTAACTTTCTCTCCATACAAGGGGCTCTTGGAGGGAACCCCAGTGAGGTCTGCGCCAAGCATCAAGTCCCATACACCCATGTCAGGGAACCCTGTGTCTCTTAAAAGGCGTGCCCAAAGCAAAGGGGGTTTGGAGCCTAAAACCCTCTGCACATGCGGGGGAAGGGTTGCCTTGAGCCTTGCTTCCTCCACGGCAAGTTCCTTTTTGAGCTGACACACCTTGGCGATGGCCTGCAGACGTTCCTTGGCCAGCTGCAAAGGTGATTTGGATAGGTTCGCAAGGACTAACCTGGCGACCTCGTCTTCCACTTGCAGAGCATCGTAAGGGTGGTTGCACTCTAGAGCAGCATCGACGAACTCCATGGGCGTGTGGTAAAGGCCTACCCTAAATAAAGCTGGGCGAACCGGACATGTCGACAGCATCACGGACCCCCTCTGCACCTTGGGAAACCTGCGAGATCGTGGTTTTTGAGGTGGCTGCACCGTGGGAAACCTGCGAGATCGTGGTTTTTGAGGTGGCATCTGATAAAGCACTGCTGGCCTTTCGTACCTGCCTTGCACCTTGGAGGGCGACTCGCCTCTGCACCTAGGGAAACCTGTGAGATCGTGGTGGCTTTTGAGGTTGCATCAGTGGCTTTTGAGGTTGCACTCCCCCTTGTAGAAGTCCTCCCGTGTGGCCCCCGTGGTTCGAGGACTTTGTGCGGAGGTAGGCCTTCCAGAGAGGACACGCTGCGAAAAGAAGCAAACTCGGGGATTAGAGGTTTGCCGCGCCGGGATTGCCTCTGCGCAGCCGCCAATCGCTGCAAGTGCCCTGGCAGAGGGGGCGAGCCTGGGAGCCCACACATTGGCATGAGAGCGGCGACATACCGAGTGCACAGCAGAAAGGGGTACTCGGCCTCAGCAGCGATGTCAGAACCCCAGCGACCGCTAAGGAAACTAGGGGCCCAGGCAGAATGCTCATGCTTGCGATCACAATCGAGCCGAAGGACTCGCAAACAAGTGGCTGAGGTAAGAAGCGTAGTGCGCTTATCTCGCAAGGACCCGTGCATACACGCAGAAAAGGTGACGACCTCAAGGCCATCATACCACAAATGAAAAGCCTGGCAGGGGATTTCATGAACCAAAACCCCAAGCAAGGCCCAAGTGTGGGCCCGGGCAGGATTCTCAACAGCAAAGGCGGTTCGGGATTCCCAAGCCTTGTGCAGCAGACGCACGCACAGACGGGCCAAGGAATTGGCCTTTTGGACCCGAAGCAGATCGCGCCCTTGCAAACCTGGGAGGCCTAAAGGGTGGGTCTGGCTTCTGAGCGGGCGAGGCTGAGGACCGTTTGGGGAGGCAGCGACTGGGCGTTCACGCGCCCGGGAACCCGCAAGGCAGGCCTATATGCACAAAAGACGGCGGCTGAGCAGCCCATAGGTTGAGAAGGTGATCCTGGGCCGAGGCTTGGCTCAAGTCAAGAAGCAGCAGGGGCAAGCATGGCTGATGCCGGCAGTACTGATAGTCAACCGGAAGCACCTGGAAGCCGGCTTGGGCAGCTGTAAGCGACAGCCTACCTGAACCAGCAAAGACCTCCCAAAGCCAAGGGCCACTAGGGTTCGGGGAGGCAGAACCACTAGGGAAACCAGAGGGCCTACCTAAACCCGGCGGCGAGAGCGGAGGGGATTCCACAACTCTAGGCACAGACTGGGCTGGAGCGGACCTCCGCGGCTTGCGACGGCATCTCAGTGGTTGTCGCTGGCAGCGGTAGTCCATGAAGAATGGCAGTTTGGTAATCGGCAGTTGAAAGGCGGGCCGAGTCGCGAACTGAGAAGCAAATCAAGACGGTTCTTCGGCCCTTCCAGGGCAGAACGCAACGCAAAAGAGAGCGCGCACTGAAGAAAACTGGTTGGCCATACGAAAGGCTGAGAGCATCGCCGTTCAAGAGGCGGCCGTGGTGCAGCAACGGATGTTGCCCATGAGCTGCTTCTATCCACAACTCACCACCTTGGAACTTCGAGCATGCAAAAAGGCAGTTCTGAGTGTCAACATCGTTGTGACTGTCGCGATGAAGTCCAGCTTGACAGTCGCGGACTCGGGAAAAGGAAGTGAAGCAAAAGTCAGGAGCCAGGCGCCGGGCGAACAAGCACAGCAAGCGGCACACCCACGGGAACTTTCGAGTTCCGGCCCGGAGACCACAAACCCCTCCTCGTGGATGTACAATCCTGCACTGAAGGCACGGGTAGTGGCAAAGTGCTGGCCCCGAGGAAATTCTCCTGCAGGCAAAAGATCTAAAGGCTTGTCCTAGGATTGAGGCTCTATGTCGGGCCTGCTAATTAAAGCGTAAGCTTGTAGCTCGGCTTGATGAGAAGTGCAATCTGGCGCACTCAAGTGACCCCAGTCGGCATATCCTAGTGCAACTTCGGCAGCAGAAGACCCGGGGTCGGCATGCATGATGAGGGACTCTGTACTAGGAGGCAACGGCGCAAACCGCGCCTCCGGCTGCTGTCAGGCATGCTTGCACTCGCTGAAAGGAAAGGGGCGGTTGCAGCCCTTCTTCCAGCACACATGAAACCCAAACTTGCATCGTTTGCCCGCCTTGGCTTTGTAGGAATTACAAAGCAAATGGCCTATAGGCGAAAGGAAAACTTCTATAAAAGAAGAGTCCAATATCATTCATATGAAATCGACTCAAGCGCTCAACGAGAAGTCACAACTTTTTGAATGTCCAGATCGCGCCATATCAGCGAGCCGAGAACCGAACCCCATTCGGGGGACGGCCCTCACCCACCAACGCGAGGCTCGCCTTACCACTTGGTCTTTGTGGCAATCTTCTGCCTCTTAGAGAGGCGTGAAACCGGGGCACTTCCTTCTCCCCCTTTCCTCCATTCCAACATCTCATCATGAAAGCTGGCAAGCTCAAGAAGAAGTTTGCACGGAACATCCGCGAAAGGCATATCGATCCTCCGAGACAAGTCAAAAGCGTCGAACCTACCGTTCGTCAAGTCGTCAGCAGCCGTGTTGAGTTCACGAGGGCGCCAATTCAAGTTCATGTGTCCTCCGCAGCGGAACAAGTCATATTGCAGCTGCATGTAGACATAAGTCAGTGGAAACTTCGTCGTGCCTTGGCGCCTCGTGACCAACTCATTCGCCAAGTTATCCGTCCCGGCCGAAACCGTAAAGCTTTGGCCGTCGGTGTCCAACCATCCGAACAAATGTAGGCCTAGCCAAGTCGCAAGAAGCTCGGCAACGGTGCTCATCCCTTTTGCCGTTCCTTGCGCATTGAACAAGAAAGGATAATCCGAAGCATTGATGCGAATGGAAAACCAGCGGCATGAAGAAGTATCAAAGCTGCTCAAGGTCTCCCATCCTCCGAGCACGAAGAAATCATCTTCCGCTTTAGCATCTGTGCGGAAAGCTTCGCGAAACACCAAGGGTGGCGACCTGCAACTGACAAGATAGCGCTTTTCTTGCAGAAGTTTCAAGATGTAGCGAAGAACCACCAGCACCATACGAGGGACCAGGGCCACCGTCCCCGGGGCGATGGCCGCTTTCCAGCGATGCAAGGGGCCCATGAAAGGCCGCAGCCAGTACAGGACTTGCCCAGCATAAACCAGCCTGCCTACGAACTCCGTGAAGCGGCGATGCTCAACCATACCTC